AAAAAAAAAAAAGCAAAACAAAACACAAAATCTAGACATGGTGGCACACATCTACTTTTTGTACTCTGGGAGGAAGATTGGATGTTCAAGCCCAGCCTGGACTTGAGCAAGTTTGAGGCCAGGTTGGACTATATATAGTAAGCCATTGTCTGAAAAAACAAAACAAAACAACAAAACAAAACAAAAAACAAAAAATAAAACAAAACAACTCACAAAAATGAACCCCACAAAACCCTCAGATGGTGGTTCATGGCTATGTTCTCTGCATTCTGGGGGCTGAAGCAGGAAGAATTCAAATGTGTGCCTAGCCTGGACAATTCAGTAACTTAGTGAGACTATCTCAGTGTAAAAAAAATAAAAAAAGGGCTAAGGATATAGCTCAGTGGGAAGCAGTACGATCAGTCACTGGTAATACGCACACATAGGCACACATAAGTATTGTAGTTTACTGATACATTGTTTTTTTAGTGTGAGGAAGTCCTGTTTTGGGGTGTACCTAGAACTGCAAAACCTCCTTTCCGTGATGCTGAGGACAGACCTGAGGGCTTCTCTGATGCTAGCTGCTTCACTGAGTTCACAAAGCAGCCCCTAGTAATTGTTTCTTATTTATTTATTTATTTATTTATTTATTTATTTAACTTTATTGATTGATTGGTACTAGGGATTGTACTCAGTACCTTCACACTGACTTATATCACCAGCCTATTTTGTTGTTGGTTTGTTTATTTATATATTTATTTATTTGGCACAGTGTCTCCCTATGCAGCTCAGACTTGTAGTGATTCTCCTGTCTCAGCCTCCCCAGGGCTGAGATTATAGCCGTGCACCATGTGGCTGGCTTGGTGCAGGGCCAGCATGGCATGTGGTACTGGGGATTGAACTTGGGTCTTTGCACTTGTTAGGCAGGTGCTTAGACCACCAAACTATCTCTCTGGCCCCTCACCCCTCCTTTTTTTTTGTATTTTGAGATGGGATCTAAGTCACTAGATTGTCCAGATAGTGGAATTTGTAGTCTTCCTGCCTCAGTCTTCCAGAGTACTGTGATTAAAGGAATCTGCCACCATTCTGGCATAATTTGTATCTTGTCACTTTTTTCTTCAAGGCTTTCTCTCTAAATTGACCATACTGGTTTTGTACCTTAAAACCCTGGAATCAAGTACTCCTCCTTGTTGAACCTTCTAAATGACCAGAAAAATAGGCTCAGGCAGAATAATCAAACGTTCAAATTCCACGTGGGTATGTTTGAGAGACCCTGTCTCAAAATAAAAAGAGATGAAAATATACCTCCAGTGTGAATGCCCCAGGTTAAATCCCAGTGAGGGGGTAGAGGGGGAAAAGGAAACAGTGAAACCAAGAATAAAGCACAAGAAAATACGCAAAAGAGGGGGCTGGGGAGATAGCTGAGTAGAATAAGTGCTTGCCTGGCAAGTGCAAGAGCCTGAGTTCAATCCCCAGTTCTGCTAAAAAAAAAAAACCAAACAAAACAACAAAACAATACACAAAAGAGAAGGAATCACATTGAAGGAAATAAATTTGGGTGACAAAAATCCAGTGCTAGTCTTTTGAAAAGATAAATTTTTCTGATGTTAAGCTACCTGAAAGAACAAAAAAATAAGTATAGAGGCAGAGGCAATGGCATAATTATAGGTGCGGGTGATTAGAACCGGCTCTGTGAAGACACTGAAAGTCTGACAGATAAACAAATGATATAATTTTTAATTTTACTCCACTAATACTAAGATGAATTCCTAATAACATAATGGGAAAATGTTGAAACATTATTTCAGGCATTAGAAAGGAGGAACACAAGTTTAAGGTCAGCCAGTACAGCGTAGCCTGACTTTGTCTGAAAATAAAAATTAAAAATGAAACATTGGGTGTTGCTCACTGGTAGAATTCTTCTCTCGTCTGTAAGATCCTGTGGGTTCAGTCATGAAGATTGGCAGAGAATAAAGGTGACATGTCGATCCATGTTGGGGAATTGAGCCCCGGGCCTCCAAGCCATGGAAGCTATACTTGAAGACCCAGATGACTATTTTTGTATACAGCTAGGTGAATTTGAGGGTGTGTGTATGTCTGTGGTGCTAGGGTATTTCAGGGTTCATGAGAACTGATTTAATACAAAAATATAAAAAGGATTATATAAAGGGTTTATTAAGTGGCTTATAGTAGCTGCCTGAATAATCCGGGGTAGAGGAATGCAAAATGGCTGCCTGCATGCGGGAGAGCTGGAGGATCCAGTCAAAGGTCAGAGACCTGGAGCTCACTGAAGTGTTGTAAGTTCCTGTTGGAATCCTGAAGGGTCTGCCTTGCAAGGCTGAGGAGTCGGTGCTGGAAGCATGCTGCTATTGGAGACAAACGTTCCAAAGGTGGTGATGAAGACTAGAGCTCCTCCAGAGAAGCGAAAGGGAAGACTTCCTTCTTTCTCTTTATTCCATCCAGGCTACAAGCCTCTTGGTGGGTGTCACCCACATCTGAGGTGGGTCTTCCATCCTCAGTTTGTAGCCTGTATTTTAGTCATCCACAGGACACACCCAGGACTGTGTTCCACTAACCCTCTGTGTGTTTATTAATCCATTTGAGTTTTATCGCATTTTAATGATTACATAGAGCTTGAACCCAGGGCCTGTTGAACATGCTATGCAAACATCTACCAGTGGTCTATACCCTCAGCCTTCACTTTTTTTTCATTATATTTTTTGAGGCAGGGCCTCATTATGTAATGCAGACTAGCTTTAAACTTGTTTATTTAGCCTTGACTGGCCTTGAACTCACAGTAATGCTTCAGCCTCAACTTCCTGAGTGCTAGGATTATAGGCATATGCCACCATACCTGGCTCAGCTTTCCTTATTTTGAGATAGGTTGCTTTATTTTACCTAGACTGCCCTCGAACTTGGAAGGCTGGCACCATGTTTGCCTCAGCCTACCAAGTAGCTATGACAACAGGCATGAATCAGTAGATAACAGGCATGAGTCAGTAGACAACAGGCATGAGCCAGTAGCTCTTAGAGTTTTTGTAAAGACATGGAAAACCTTTGAGCAATCCATTTTCTTGTTACATTTTTAGATATCTATAGGCATTCTGACTTCTGATTTTTTTGGTACCAGGAATTGAATTTAGGGTCTCATGCTGGCCAGGCAGGTGCTGTGCTGCTGAGCTACATCCCTGGCCCCTTCTGATTTTTTTTTTTTTTTGATAAGAATGACTTTATGGGTATATTTTATACATTAAAATAATATTCTCCTTTATGAGATATAAATTGATATTGTGCATATTGGGGTACAAAACAATAGTCTCTCTCCCCTACCCCCAAGTGCTGGGGATTGAATTGAAAACCTTTACACTGAGCTGTGTCTCCATTCCTTTAAAAATATCTTTTAAGTTTTGAGACCAGATCTGGCTATGCTGCCCAGGTTGGGGTCTAAATCGTGAACTTTCTAGCCAGGCATGGTGGTGCATGCCTGTAATCCCACCACTTCAGAGGTCGAGGTAGGAGGATTGTCTCAATCCCCCACAAAAAACTCCCCCAAAACAAAAATTTTTAATCTTACTGCCTCAGCCTTTCAGGGTATGGCATTTCAGGCATGTGCCAACAAGCCTGACCTGCAAATGATAGTTTGTCTAATAAGGAATAGGTTACTTTTAATTTTGTTTCTTTGAAACATATAGCACATTGCTTCACAGTTAATTTGGTATTGCCAGTAAACAGCAATCAGATATGTAGAAGTAAAAATACAGAAATCAGCTGGGCATGGTGCCGCATGCCTGTAACTCAAGCAGTCTGGGAAGCTAAGGAAGGATGATTTCAAGTTTAAGAAACATAGTGAGAGCTTTTTCTAAATAAAATAGCATAGAAATGAAGCTTAGTGCAAAGGGCCTGTGTTCAGGTGATAGTTGTGCAAAACAAAATACCAAAAACCCATACAAAGTGTAGAAATAATTTTTCTGTGTTCATGACTGCTAAATTTTATGAGGAAGTGAGATTTGGTGTCCTGGCAACAGTAAATATTTGGATACAGTAGAGGAGTTGTGGGAACATCTTTAGGACTAGAGGCTTGATCCCAAAGCTGTCAGTCTCACTATCTACATGTTCCCATATGTGGGATGTTTTAGGACTCAGTGGACTTTGAGGATGTGGCTGTGCAGTTCACCTTTGAAGAGTGGGCTCTGTTGGATCCTTCACAGAAGAGACTCTACAGAGATGTGATGAGGGAAACCATCAGGAACCTGGCTGCTGTGGGTGAGGATGCTGTCATTCCATTTAGTGAATTACAGAACAAGTATTTCATGCTCATTAACTGAGTCCCAGGATTTTAAAGGTGGAAATGGTATTGCTTTGTTGACTAAGTTAGGCCAACTCACTTTGACACACATACCTATACTGTCATATATTTTCTATAATATAAAACTTATGACAATTTGATTCTGCATGTGTGTTTTAGGGAGAAATTGGAAAGACTGGAACATTGAAGATGATGACCAAAATGTGAGGCGAAATCTAAGGTTAGTTGACCGAGTAAGAGTATGTAGTGCTCCCCCCAGAGCATTTTCCTATATTAGAACATTTCACATACAAGCAAGCTAAATAGCCCAGCTTCTAATTGATTTGTCAAAAAGTTTCCCCCAAAATATTGACTAGCTAGGTGTTGAAGCATATGACTGTGAACCCAGCTTCTTGGTAGGTTTAGTCAACAGGATTGAAAGTTTAATCCCAGCCTGAATAACTGTTGAGATACCCAAGACATAATAAATATTTGGAACCGAGCTGGGCATAGTGTTACATGTCACTAATCAAAACACTGGGGAGGCAGAGGCAGAAGGAACAATGAATTTGAGGTCAGCCTGCACTACATAGTGAGACCCTCTTAAAAAAATCTGTGGGACTCTACCAAAATTTAAAAAAATCAAAGAAAGGATCGAGGATGTAGCTGAGTTCAAAGGCTTTGGATTCAGTATTCAATAACTCACACACATACACATACACATATACAGTTAATATTTTATTTGTATTTAAGATTTTTTTTTTTACATATTTAGTACAGGATCTACAGGGTCTCACTATGTAGATCAGACTCAGTGATTCTTCTGTTTTCAGCCTCCCAAGCACTGAGATTACAGGTGTGTGCCACGATGCCCAGTCTCAATTGCCGTCTCAGCGCGGTCTGGGCACAGGGACTGGCATGGCATGCCGGCGATTGAACCCTGGCTTCTATGCTCTGCCTAAGCAGGTGCTTTAGTCTGCTGAGTTATCTGGCTGGCCCTTTTAAAATTTTGTGGATATTCATGGTGTGAAATGTAGTTCATTACAAACCAATACCAAGACCTGGTTGTATTGGCACACATCTGTAATCTGACTACTCTTGGAGTCTAAGGTCAAAGGATGAGATGTTCCAGCCAGCCTGGACAATTTATTTATTCATTTGAAGCTTTAGCTGAAGGCTTAAGGGCTGGTACATAACTCAATAATATAGCTCTTGCCCAGCATATATGAGGCCCAGGCTTCCGTTCCAGCCTTCAGCCCGGGCAATTTAGTGACTTAGTTCCTAAAATTCATATATGTGAAAAGGCCTGGGGATGTAGCTAAGTCTTATGCCCTGTGTTTAATCCTTTATGTTGGAAAAAATGAAAAACAATGTTAAACCTTATATATAAATATTACTGTTTCCATAATGACAGCCAAATACCTGTCTGAGGCACTCTGTACATTGACTTTAAAATGTTTAGAGAAGGAAGAAAGCCAGCATTTTTCCAGAAAGTAATTAAATAGTGATTTTTTATTATTTTTTTTTTCTTTTTCTTTTTTTTTTTTTTTGTGGAACCAGGGATTGAACTCAGATCCTTGCATTTGCCAGTCAAGCGCTTATCCTACTGAGCCATCTCCCTGGCCCCAATAGTGATTTTTAAAAAAAAATTTTGAGACAGGGTCTTGCTATGTAGTTCAGTCTTCCTTGAACTCATTATATAGCTCAGGCTGGCCTCGAACTCAAGGTGATTTTCCTGCCTCAGTGCCTTTGCCTCTCAAGTGTTGGGATTACAGCCATGCGCCACCATGCCTGGCTAAATAATGATACTGATACCAATTAAAAATAAGAAAAAATTTAAAAATGTCATTGAAAATGTGCTATTTGTTCTTCACAGAAGCTATGTGGTCAAGCGACCACGTGAAAGTAAAGCAAGTCTTCAGTGTAGAGAAAACAGCAGAATTTCAAATCTGAGTTGCGTCAAGGAAACTCAAACCTGTGGAACAGCATGTAAAGGCAGCCTGTGTGAAAAAGTCTTCATGCATCCAAAATTCCTTAGTAGGCACCTCAGATTGTATCCTGGCTGCAGAGTATACAAGAGTCAGAAATACGGAAATAAGCCATATGAATGTAAGGAGTGTGGTAAAGCATTCATTTATCACCAGTGTCTTCGGAACCATGAGAGTACTCATACTGCAGAGAAACCTTATGAATGTAAACAGTGTGGCAAGGGATTCACATTTCTCAGTTCCTTTAGAAAACATGAAAGAAGTCATGTTAGTGAGAAGAGCTATCAGTGTAAAGAATGTGGGAAAACATTTTTTGGTCGCCAAACATTTAAGATACACATGAATGTGCATACTGGAATGAAATTCTACCAGTGTAAGCACTGTGGAAAACCTTTCCTGTATTTTTCATCGTATAAAGCTCATGAAAAGAATCATAGTGGAGACAGATCTTATGAAGGTAGGCAATGTGGTGAATCCTTCAGTGTCCCGCTAAATCTGCGATACCGCAAAGGGACTCATGCTACAGAAAAATCATGTAAATGCACAGTATGTGGTAAGGATTTCAGATGTCCATGTGTCTTTCAGTTACATAAAAATACTCATTCTGGGGAGAAACTTCATAAATGCAAGGAATGTGGGAATTCCTTTGTTTGTCTTACAAGGCTTCAGAGGCATGGGAGAATGGACACTGGAGAGCAACCTTATAAATGTATGGAATGTGGGAAGGCTTCCAGGACTTTAAGCTTCTGTGAATTACATGGAAGAACTCACATGGCAGAAAAACCCTACACCTGTATTCAGTGTGGCAAAACATTCAGGGATTCTAATACCCTTCATGATCATGAGAGAATGCATAATGGAGAGAAACTCTATCAGTGTAAAGTGTGTCGTAGAGTCTTCAATAATTCAAGCTCAGTTCAAGCGCATGAAAGAACTCACAGTGGAGAGAAACCCTATGAATGTGAACAGTGTGGAAAGACCTTCACTCGTTCAAATGTACTACGAATGCATGAACGAATTCATAGTGGAGAGAAACCCTACAAATGTGAACAATGTGGAAAGGCCTTTAATTATTCTCATTCCCTCCGCCTCCATGAAAGAACTCACAGCGGAGAGAAACCCTATGAATGTCAACAGTGTGGAAAGGCTTTCACTCATTCTAGTGGTCTACGTGCACATGAAAAAATTCACAGTGGAGAGAAACCCTATGAATGTCAACAATGTGGAAAGTCTTTCAATTACTCTAATTCTCTCCGAGTCCATCAAAGAATTCACAGTGGAGAGAAACCCTATGAGTGCCAACAATGTGGGAAAGCCTTCCATTCTTCTAATTCCTTCCGAGTACATGAAAGAACTCATAGTGGAGAGAAACCCTATGAATGTCAACAATGTGGAAAGGCCTTTGCTAGTTCCTGTTACCTTCATGTTCATGAAAGAACTCACCGTGGAGAGAAACCTTATGAATGTGAACAGTGTGGAAAGGCCTTCAATTACTCTAATTCTCTCAGAGTCCATGAAAGAACTCATAGTGGAGAGAAACCTTATGAGTGTCAACAGTGTGGAAAGACCTTCACTTGTTCTGGTGCTCTCCATGTACATGAAAGAATTCACAGTGGAGAGAAACCTTATGAATGTGAACAATGTGATAAAGCCTTCACTTATTCCCACTCTCTGAAGGTACATATAAAGTCACACTTTCGAGAAATTCTATGAATATAAATATGACTGGCGAGCCTTCCAGTTGTTCCACTTACACTGGAGCATATGGGAACACTCACTGAAGAGAAAAATATAAGAATATGAAAAATATGGTAAGACCTTCATTTGGTCAGGTGACATTTGAGCACATAAAACAGAAAAACCCCAACTAACCAGATTCTGGGGGAGAAACCCTGCATGTAAAAAAATGTAAGGCTAAGGGCTTTTGTGCTTCATTGCCTAACACATCATAAAAGGAAATTATTTGAAATGTAAGCTCTATGGAAAACCCATCTTATTACACCTTGCTTTGGGTATACCTACCTGAGAATTTATCACGGAGAAACCATGTAAATATAAAGAGCATTAAAAAGAATTTCAGTCATTTTTGTTCATTGAACCTGAGATCACTGTTGTCTCCCCCACTTTTTTTTTTTTTTTCCTCCAGTAATGGGGATTGAATTCAGGACCTTGCACTTGCCAGGAAGTGCTTATTCTACTGAGATATCTCCCTGCCCTTCACTTTTTTTTTTTTTTTGGTGGAACCGGAGATTGAACACAGACCCTTGCACTTGCCAGGGAAGCACTTGTTCTCCTGAGCCATGTCCCTGGCCCCTTCCACTTTGTTTTTTGAGACTGGGTTCTATTAGTTGGTAAATTCCACAGACTGGGCTTAAACTTGTGATCTTTCTGCCTCAGCCTCTCATGGTCCTGGGACAGGTGTGTGCCACTGCACTTGGCTGAGAACAATTTTTTGAGAACTATATCCTTAGAAAAGGGTGTGGCATTGGCCCTTGGGTACAAACATAAGCTTGTGGAAAATAGGTGAGAAATTTTTTAACTGTTAGAGCTCTTTTTATCTATTTTTTGCTAGTACATGTTTGCCATGTATAATCACATCCATCATGGGGAATTTGTACTGTACCACCTCTTTTTTAATTCTAAGGTACATCAAAAACAATTCAAAGGCTTTTGCCTGAACAAATGAGCTTGCAGTCTTTCCCACAGCATTTTTCTAAGCATTCCTATAATCAGTTGCATTAAGATACTAAATAGAGACAGCTGTTCCTATTATAATTTCTAGGTGGGCAGTAATACTTTCATATCTGGGTAAGAGGAAAAGCATTTGGGCCCAGTAACATATTCCTATCAGTTTGGACTATTGGTGGTACAGGCATGACTCTCATTAGGTAGTTTGTACCACTAGCAGTACAAATGAATCTAATAACTTTTATCAGTCTTTTTACTAATAAAATTAACACAAGGTCTATAAATGGACTGAATCTAGTTGCTTGAATTTGAATAATTTTCCAAGTATAAATGTTACTATTGTACCTACCATTTAAAATGAATACAATTGATACATTTCATTAAAAAATATATATTTGTGAAAATTATCAATTTTTAAAAATAATTTTAACATGGAAACTTATATACTATTGCTGGTGTATATAATGTTAATTTACAATTGCTGTACCACAAATTAGCTGTATTACAGTTTTTTATACAATTTAAAGTTTTCTCTAAGGAACTATAATATAAATACATCTGGTCTGCTAAATTAATACCTTTCATTGTGTTACTATAATGCATGTAGCACTGGTAGTTCAAACAGGTACAAACAATTTAATTTAGATCAAAACTATCCAGCAGCAAGATATGAATTACAGCCCTTTCCTGAATGTATTAATTCTACTCATGCCTCAACATTAACCAGTTATGACATTATGAAAACACGAATGCATCAATGTTTGGCATAATGAACTTCTCTAGGGCACTGGATTCATCCAACCAGAACAGAAACATTTTTCAATGGCAGGGTCACAAGTTACAAGTATTCCTTTGAAGATATCATCCATCTCTTCTCAATTAGAATTGAGAAGATCTAATTGACCTCACTTAGATCAAAGGATACAGATGACTTCCAGAATACTCATTTTCTCCAGCCACTTGGCCTTACTAGGCATCGGTGACTACATACTTAGCAGTGTCTAGGTAGCACTGATAATGTGCTCCACTGCAGTCATTGAACATCGTAAATTTTAGCAAATACTTTGTCATGTTAAATTCCAGCTGGACAAAATGCAACAAATGTATTGTGAGTGAATCATTTCACATAGAATATTGTACAAAATTTATAGTGTGAAGCTCCTGCTATATAGATGTTAAATATTCTGTATTTATCTGTGGCTCATTCTTTCCCTCTAGTTATGATCTTCCAAAAAAGGTGAAAACATTATGAAGCCTTTGTAAATAACTGTGAACATGGCTGCTATGGTTCTCCTCAGTTTTCTGGATATATCCTCTGAACAGTCAGTGCTGGAGACAACCATATTACTCAAATGGTCAATTAATACCTGAAGACAAACATAGGTTGGAAATTGCACTTTCCTTTGCCCAAGCATCATTTCCTATGTTATAGATACAGTATGTGCAATTAGGGCAAAAAGATAGGCCTCTATACTCTGGATTACTGTAATGTGAAGTCAGGAAGGGCGCTTGAAGAATTTGAGTGTTGTCATGGTGCCTACAAAATGTGTGAATGTTTTTGTGCTCACACATTCTGGTACAGAGCTTCACGCTGAGCTGTGGACTCAAGATAAATGACTTTTTTTTTGTGGCTGGCTCAGCCTGCTCTGGGGGTAGTATGGCATGTGGTGCCGAGGATCAAACTGCAGTCCTATGGTTGCCTAAGCTTGTTTTAGCAGGCACTTTAGACCACTGAGCTATCTTGCTTGCCTGATAAATGACAATTTGGAGGCATGTCCATCACCAGGTTCTGTCAGCTGCAGTGCTATTGTCAAGAGAAGTGCCTCTGGAAATCTCTGGAGTGGCACATGGAGTGGGTTAGTTCATGCCAGCAAAATATTTTCTGTAGTACAGCGCAGATCTGTTTAATAGTTGAAGGAAGGAAGGACCTCTAAGCTGGACCTTTAACTGAAGACATTGAAAAAAAGAATCTGATAACTCGTAAGTAGTGTTTGTTATGCTGCCCATTGTGATAGAGTTGTAAGAACAGTACGTGGGCTATGCTGGGCCCCTCCTTTGACCCCTTACCTAGGTGACTGTAAGCTGGGATGTCCAGAGTGTTTTTTTTTTTTTTTTTTTTTTTTTTGCGGAACTGGGGATTGAACTCAGGCCCTTGTGCTTGCCAGGGACTTTTTTTTTTTTTTTTTTTTCAGAGTGTTTTTGTTTTTTTGTTTCACCAATTTATTTTCAAAGGACAAAATGAGACAACTTAAATATACGTGTGGCAGAGCTGTTGTGTGAGGACAATGCACGCTCACTCCCATCACCAGTGTCCCTGGAGTCCTGGTACTTTATTCATATACATCCTTATCTGCACTGTAATCTACAATTTCTTGTGGACACATTAACTTTTCCACATTTGTATCAGGAATTTCAAACCCAAATTCATCCTCCATGGCCATGACAATCTCCATTTGGTCCAAACTGTCTAAGCCCAGGTCTTTCATAAAATGGGAATTTACCGAGCGCTTTTCTGGATCAATCTTGTCATACAATTTCAAGACATACAGAACCTGATCCTTGATTCCTTCCAGTGTCAAAGGGGGTGCGTCCGCTGTACTGGTGGCAGAACTGTGGGATCCTCCCCCACACCTGTGCGAGCAGTGAGGCCGGCTGCGTCACCCCGGGGCCTCCCCTGGGTCCCCGCGGGACACAACGCAGTGCAGAGTGTCCTGGCCAGGGCCAGAGTGGGGACCCGGGGTGGTGGCACAAAGGCTGAGGGCAGGCAGCGGAAGCAGGAGGAAAGGACTCTAGCCGCCATGGCTATGCCGAGCCAGGATGCATAGCCCAGAGTGTTGTTGCTTCCACATTAAAGGCTGCTTTGACTGGATCTGATGGAAGCCATATTGTAGGCAGTGGTCAGATGGATGCATTGAGTACTGATGGTATGTAATGAAGTGATGATACCTCTTCCTTCTTGGTGGGTAGCCACATTGTGTGCATTCCATCAAAGCAGATGCTAACTAATATGCCATCTTTGGCTACAGATTTTTCAGTGATTTGTGTGATAATTACTAAGCTCATTTCTTGACACAGCAGTCTGTTCAGGTAGGCATGAAGCAGTAACTTCTGCAAACTTCAGTTCCCAAGGTTCCTTTATAGCCCAACCTCTGTACAAACCAAACGTAGCCTGGCTCAACCCAGCCCAACTGAAAACTAACTCAGACAAGAAACAAAAGAAGGAAAAAATGGAAACAGCTTTTCTAAATAAGGAGGGGAAAAGCAGTTGAAGGGTGGGAAAGGGAATGGGGAAGAACCAGGTTATGTCATGTACAGATACAAATTCCCTGTGCTGATGAGAGCTGACCAGGTAGCTCAGGGGACTAAAGCACCTTAGAGTGCAGGGACTGGGGTTCAATCCCTGGAACCACAAGCCATGCTGGTCCCACCCCTAGGGCACACTGAGACCAGCGATTTAAGACCAGGCATGGTGGTGCACGCCTGTAATCCCAGCGCTCGGGAGGCTGAAAACAGAAGGATCACTACGAGTGTAATCTACATAGATCCTATAGACTCTGTACAGGTCATAAAAAAAGCACCAAGACAAACTCTCCGTGATGAATGTTATTACTATTTTATTTAAACAGTCTCAGTATGTATATAGTTCAGTCTGGCCTGGATTCACCCTGTAGCTCAGACTGACCTCAAACTCTCAGCAATCCTGCCTCAGTCTCCTGAGTGCTGTGAGTATAGATGTTGCCACCACACCTGGCAAATGTTCTTTATATCTAAAAAGCTGTGAATAAAAAAGAAGAAACAAGACAGTTGTAATGCCATTAACAGTGTCAGAGATTGGGTGTTATATCTTCACAAAGATATGTTTGATTTCTCCTATGTTCCTCAACTTTCTTGGTTCATGTGCTTGCCAAGACTGTCCACTGTCCCATCTCTGGCTTTAGAGTTTATTTCCTAAGCTTCTCATCAAGAGTAAAAAAATTTTTTTTTTCTTAACAGGAATCAAACTCAGGCTTGCCAGACTGTGCCACTGAACTATCTCCCCAGCTCAGGGGTGGAATTCTTATTTGAAGCTCTCACTCCATAGTGATTAGCTCTGGTGGCTATGAACGTGTTAGGTTTCAAGGAGAGCAAATCACTTGATTCCCATATTGTGTTTGATAAGTTGAACAGGTTATGTAGGTATTTGGTCTCTCTCTCTCTCTCTCTCTCTCTCTCTCTCTCTCTCTCTCTCTCTCTGTCTCTCCTCTCTCACCTCTCTTCTCTCTCCTCTCTCCTTTCTTCTTTCTTTTGGCAGAACTGGGGATTGAACTGAGGCCCTTGCACTTGCCAGGCAAGCGCTTATTCTACTGAGCCATCTCTCTGACCCCTACTGGTCACTTTTTGCAGGCAGTTTTTCCTACTTCTTGATTATTGTGGGGGAGCCTTAGAGGGGATTTTGCAGTAATGGGATGAGCAGGGTCAGTTACCCATGCCCAAACCTTGGTGCTTTCTTGTGTCCTGAA